TTAGGCTACTTATACTGTTATAATGTCTCTAACTGATCAATAAAACTGAAATTTAACAAAAATAGACAGGGTTGTGTCATTTTATTTTATATAGCCTATTTTATATAGCCTTTTCATTACTATTTTATTTGCTGTATACTGTTTGTTTATTTTATTGACTAAACTATTTACTATTACTCACTGTATCTTATATTTACTATTTGCACTGCATTGTAGTTGTACCATATCGTATATGCCACGATGCCATCAAGCGGTGTCTCTGGTCGTAATCAGTCCTTCACTGACCAATCAGCGTCCATTAGCAAAATGCTAGCGTGTTATGGGCAACAACAACTCAACCTGTAAGAAATCGAAAGGACATAAGCACTCGTTCATTCAACTTTCGACCTATAACCCATGTTGAACTTGCAGAACCTACATTCAAATCTGAGATTTCTCAATGACAATCGGGTAAAAGAGACAAATTTAGCCGTCTAGCCCCATTGACTCCCATTCATTTTGCACTCGGACGATCGCCCCCAGTGGAACTCTGGTGGAACTACAACCAAAATTCGGTACAATAGGACTTAATAGGGAGTGGCCAGGCTTTCCGTAGACGGGCTTTGATGGAACCCTAAGCACTCGCGGTCTTCCTCTGAGTCCGCACTTTCGCGACGTAACGCCGCTTTGAATGTCGGGAAGAAGTCTGCTGTGGAGTCCGCATCAGCCAAGGGGGTAATCCATCGACCGGAAGTTGAAGCCGGCCGGGTGCCGCCATGTTGTAGCAGAACTTCACTTGCGTTAGCATTTCCATTGACTCCCATTCATTTTGGCGTCACTTTGACAGCGAATAACTTTACATCTGAGGCGTTTAAAGACTCCATTTGTCCATTATTTATTTCTAAAGAAACACGACAATGTATAAAGGGCTCTATTACCTTCTATGTTACATTATGGCCCCGTAGAAACAGATTTAGTAAAAATAGGCTAAGGATTGCGTCATAACCACTCGACTCTCTGTCGCGCTGTACAGAAATTACCGTACAGACAGGAGGAGAAGCTCGCAGGCAATCGGGGGGACGTCCCGTCAAGGGAGAAGCCCATAGATAATGAGTCCATAAAAGCAACGGAATACTTTTCCTGCTCACTCACGCCAAAGAACTCTTTGCTCAAGTTCCCCGTCTCTGCAAGATTAACGTTGGCAATTTTCACGCACAGCTACTAGAAGATTAACGTCTGTCAGACAGGTTGCTCACGTCATCAAGCTTAGTTTGAGTCGGTTTGAGTCTGCGCGTCAGGAACGGAAGTGCTCAAAAATCGCTAAAAATGGGCTTCAACTGTCTCAACTGAGTTCCAATGAGATGGCTCTGTCCACTATGGCATCAGCGTGGGCTCGGCAAAAGTGCGCATCAAGGGCGCAAATCGACCGCAGAGGGGGCGCTCGCGAGCACCCTTCTGAGATCTAAAAATGACAAATGGGACACACTGCGGTCTCACGGACTTAACGGACACGCGCACGCGGCAGCCATTGTAAGGCCCTGTCCCAATACCCGCACTTGCGCCCTTGTGCCCCTCAATGCGCGTTCTCGCTAAGGGGTGCAAGACCGTAGGGTGTCCCGATCCTCTAATAGTGTTCTCCAGGGGTGATCATAAGGGCACTTAATGCACCCCTTTCGCAAGTGCGCATCAGACCTCACTTTGCTGTGGGATATTACCCAGAATCCTTGTAGTGTTGTGACGTTTCGAACAGCTAACCAATGGGGGAGAATGGTTGCTATGGTGCTGTTCGGGAGCGGAAACTCCGAAGATAAAGGAAGCCGGTATGGTGAAGTGTTTTTCAAAGCCGCGAAATTTAAAAATATTAGTGTTATCGTGTCACGAAATGTAGTTTTAAGAGTTTTTCAGTCGAGAATATAGTTGTTTAAAGCTCAAATCTGTGGTTTGTTTATAAAGATAGCGCCTATTTAAAATTTTGATCGGACTTTTTCGGAGTTCCAGGGATCAGCGGGCGCACAGCGCTCATGTACCCCGCCTGGAACAGCCTTACCTCGGCTAGTCATTCTGACGTTTCCTGCGGGCTCTGTGTCTAGTGGTTAAACATGAGCTATAAATCGGCTTGTGTATATCTAACAGGCGATCTTTGGTCTCATTAATCTATGATTTGTTCCCTGGCAAATCGTTTTGGCTGAGGGCAAAGTGAAGTTTCATAACTTTATAAATTTATGCTATTTAACTGTAATGTTGTAACGTTAGCCTGTTGACTTATGTTTGACTGAATCTTTTAACTTGCTTTATTTCTTGACTTATATAGCTTCTTATACTTTTTAGGCTACTTATAATTTAATAATGGCTATTATTGATCAATAAAACTGAAATTTAACAAAAAGAGACAGGGTTGTGTCATTTTATTTCATATAGCCTATGTAAGACTTTTAATATAGCCTTAGCCTATATAATATATCACCAACACGTCATGTATTTTTTCATGTATGGTATGGGAAGAATTTCATAGATCAATTTCCATAATAACATAATTAAAATTGCATTTCGAATCGCTGTGAATACGGTAAGGCAGTATAAGCTCAGGTAAACCCCAATCACAATTTATCTTAGCCAAAAACTGTTTTAATATTAATAACATTAACAGAAAGGTTGGTAGCTAAGAGTAAAAAAAGATTATTTTTTTCATTCAAAGGATTGTGTCATGTTACAGCTATTATAAGCAGCACACACATTAGCCAAATGAATGGTGTTTGCTCTCCTGATCACAACAGAAGTGACGTGTGAAAAACTGTCCCAATTCTGCTCTTCACAGCTTTGGGCCCTTGCGCACTTACTCCGCTAAGTGCACTTTCAACAAGTGTCCACTTCCAGGAAGGCCTTAGGGCTCAAGTGAGAATTGGGACTGGGCCAGTGTCCACAAGACCGAAAGTGCACATCAAGGGTGCTTCTCATTTCTTATTTGTGCATCCTCGTTTCCTTTCCTCGCGTCTCAGCTCCACCCCCTGTAGGATGCGAGGGAAGGCTGCAAGGAAAGAAAAGGAGGACGGAGGAATCGAAGGAAAGTTTTTTTTATACTTTGGAGTAGTTGACCACTCGAGCGTCACTTCACTGCGTCATCAGCAGCGCTCAAAGTATCTGCCCTTATGTTGTTGAAGTTTGGCTATTTAAGAAATTTGTTATAAATAATAATAAAGCAAGATACCCTGTTGAAACATGTGAGATGTGTGGTTTATATAAACTGCAATGGTAAAGTATACATTAAAATGATTGTGACCGACGTGAAGGGGGAGGAGAATTGATACGTGCGTCACGTTAAGTCGATAAAACACTTCCGCAAAGCATGCAACCTCTGATGCAACCGTGCATCCTGTCGGTACACGATCCGTTCCATCTGCACGATCCGTTCTACGCATGCGCGTAATTACTAAGTAGAAGACGTCACGGTTTTCCTACACTATCGGTACCACGCATGCGTGGATGAAACACTTTACGGCCAGGCGGCACAACTTGCGGCATACCGGTTTTTGTGTAACATAGACATTCAATGTTTGTGTAACGTTAGTTGTATTTTGTTTAACATTTCACAGCGGGTCTATTTTGATGCTTTTAAATGTAGCTTACGCTGCATTACGATGTGTTTACGTGGTTGCCAATCCAAAATAATAAAGGAGTTGTGACTGAGTTATGAACATACATGATCAGTTTCCTCCACTCTCCTTTGCGATTCATTGCTGTATGGTATTAGGCTTAACTGACTTAACTTGCCGTGTTTTGGTCTGAGGTCAGTATTGTCAGATGGTTTGGTGTCGTTTTTTTTAATTAAAATTAAATTATTAAATTAAATAAATTATTAATTTATAATCGGCTATTAGTTACCTTTTAAGTTGAGTAATTTTGTATTAGTATGGGTCTATATAGGCTAATATATATCTATATAATCTAAATGTGGAAAATAATCCCTTTAATGTTGTTTACAAAGACAATAAAGGAACATAATATGCATTTCTGCCTAGACTATCTGCACTTACGTGAAAAAAGAACTACAAACAAGTCTGGGGAAACGTTATAGAGTATTTCAAACTGACAATGGAAATGACTTGAAAGAAGCATGTGTACACACAGAACCAGTGGGACCTGGGACCAGTGGTGGACAGTAGTAAAGTACACTTTTTGAGTATCTTTATTTATCTTTATAAAAACACTCTCACACACACTCTCACACACACACACACTTTAACAGCTCTCAGTCCACTTCAGACGAACACTCTTTCCGCTGTAACAGCTCTCAGTCACTTCAGACGAACACTCTTTCCGCTGTAACAGCTCTCAGTCCACTACAGACGAACACTCTTTCCGCTGAATCAGCTCTCAGTCCACTTCAGACGAACACTCTTTCCGCTGAATCAGCTCTCAGTCCACTTCAGACGAACACTCTTTCCGCTGTAACAGCTCTCAGTCACTTCAGACGAACACTCTTTCCGCTGTAACAGCTCTCAGTCCACTACAGACGAACACTCTTTCCGCTGAATCAGCTCTCAGTCACTTCAGACGAACACTCTTTCCGCTGTAACAGCTCTCAGTCCACTACAGACGAACACTCTTTCCGCTGAATCAGCTCTCAGTCCACTTCAGACGAACACTCTTTCCGCTGTAACAGCTCTCAGTCCACTTCAGACGAACACTCTTTCCGCTGTAACAGCTCTCAGTCCACTTCAGACGAACACTCTTTCCGCTGTAACAGCTCTCAGTCCACTTCAGACGAACACTCTTTCCGCTGTAACAGCTCAGTCCACTTCAGACGAACACTCTTTCCGCTGTAACAGCTCTGTTCATTTAAACGAACACTCTTTCCGCTGTAACACACACACACACACACGCACACACACACTAACAAAATGTATATGGGTGACTGTGCACCCCAACTCCAGCATTTACTCTCAGGTTGAGGGTGTCTTTGCAAATAATCATGAAGGTTTCCATGTGCTGAATGTTTTCAAAAATGAACGTGAAAGGCTCCATGGCATAGCACTTCCTCGACTCCATCAGCACCCTCCACGCTTTCATTTGGTCATCATGATCCATCAACATGTATGATGGTTCTTGCACCTGGCCAGTGAAAAGCCCAAGACTGTTCCTCACGATGTATTCTGCCTGGTACATATGTTTCAATGTGAGGGGCAGCTCCTCCACTTCTACCTGTTCCTCCTATGATAAAGTAAAATACCATAAATTAAGACTACAACATAAGATGTTTTGGTCTTTCAAACGGGGCCTAAAGACATCTTTTCAGCAAAAAAATTAACAAATGTCTCTTGGAGATGGCTGCAATGTAACAAAGGGTGAAACATTGACAACGTTTACATGCACCTTCATAATGCGATTATAATGGGATTTTAGCAATATTGCGATTATATTTTACCTCATGTAAACACAATACTTAAAGCAACACTATGTAACATTTTTACCTTAAAATAATGTTTCCAAAATCTTATCAGTGGTTCATCAAGTCGTAACAGGGTGAAAGGCACTTCTGCCATTGCCTGACGGGGTCTGTATCGCTGGCACAACGGAACTTCGGGGTTCGGGTAGTAACTAGGCTTGCTACGGTAGTCGGTGTTACCGGTGTTAATTTAACATTTAGAATGCATACGTGAAAATGGTTGTCTGGTTAGTTTGGCCATACCTTGACTATTTGGGGTCGAGAAATCCTATAAATAGGTGGTAGGGTGCCTGCCATCAGCTGTTCTGCCTCCTCTGTCCAGAAGGCAAAGCGCTGCCCGAAGTTCTGCCCATGCCCATTCAAAAGTATGGTACTTTTAATGTAGCATAATTGTAAAGCAGACCAATGTTTTACTGCTTGAAATATGCCCTACCTTGCGATCGAGAATTTCTCCAGAATCTGGAGACACCACCACTTCCGAATAGATGGTATGTCAGTCTGTAATACACATGTAATATTGGAGTCTTGCATTGTTTGTTTTTTAACATTCTTTGATACATATACATTCCATGAATTACAACTTACATCCAAAAAGTGAAACATGGCACCAGTACAGATGCAGAGGGCATACTGTTAAAGAGAAAAATAATTATTATGGAGATTTAGGACAAACAGGAAAAATTGAGTAGAAATTGTATAAGTTTACCATAAGCATGAATATCCCACAGCTCTGTCCATCTGACTGAACTGGAAATGGCTGAAAAGTAATATACAGTTACTCAGATGTGATGTTGACAACCATATATAGTGTCCGCTGAGCAAAATGAAATGGCAAATTTACATAGTAAGTAAAGTTACATCAAAATCTTTGCCCGTCTTCTCCACCCACGGTCCATTAGCCACTGCTCCTGCAAGTTGTCTGGAAAAACATTATGCAAAACTGAATCCATAGAACAAGGTTTTTTCCTCAATCCTAAAGCCAGAGAACAAGGCTTTTACTCAATCCTAAAGCCAGAGAACAAGGTTTTTACTCAATCCTAAAGCCAGAGAACAAGGCTTTTACTCAATCCTAAAGCCAGAGAACAAGGTTTTTACTCAATCCTAAAGCCAGAGAACAAGGATTTTACTCAATCCTAAAGCCAGAGAACAAGGCTTTTACTCAATCCTAAAGCCAGAGAACAAGGCTTTTACTCAATCCTAAAGCCAGAGAACAAGGCTTTTAATCAAACCTAAAGCCAGAGAACAAGGCTTTGCCTGAACAGGATATCAGTCCATTTCACTCAGTTTGATCTGTATTTGTTAAGGCTGTTACATTGAAGATTTTCAGAGTGCTGTTCAGGCTTAACTGGATGGAAAAAAAAGTAGAAAACACCCCCTATCATGTATTAACTTTAATTCCCATAGTAGCATGTAACTACATGCACTTTATGTTCTTTGTTAGCCTTAATCGGTCACAGGTCAAACCTTGCTAATGTCCTCTGCTTATGCATTTCAAACCTAAATATGGTTCGGTATTTCTCATCTCCAAACCCATTTGGACATAATGAGTCCAGAAAAATAGCCTCCTTCTTAGCAACTAATAACACCTGTGAAGAACATACCCTATTAATGTCAGCTATAGGGGCACCAACTGGTTTAAAAATAGAGGAAAAACTAAAAAACAATGTAACTGTACACAAAGCATGTAGTGGCTTGCTGTTTGTGACCCCCTAGACCATGCTGGCAAAATGATGATATCTTTAGATTCCACATTGTCCTATGAAAAAAAAACTATGTTCAGATCTCCTTGGACATAATCTTCACTTAAAGAGGTGTATCTGCTGGACTTGTCAACACATTATGCAACTTACCGGCAAACTAGGTTCCCTTAGTTTCCATTTAGGGACTTCAAATAGGTCAGCAATGTGGACATCCATTCCCTGAATAAAATTGTATGTCTGCATTTCATATACATACATCTCACAAAAGTGAGTAGTAAAAATGTGAGAGGTGCACTCACTTTTGCACAAACTTATGTGTAAGTCATCAAGGTAAATACAAATACATACATGTCTCCTGCCTGCCTCCTCTACCAGCCTGAAGCACGCATTCCCAATCTGAAAGCACAGAATGTTTTGCATAATTACAATAAAGGCATTAGAACCATCCAAACTCTTTACAGCAATATCCACTTACACTGCTCTCCACCTGTTCATCTAGCCCCAGGCTCCAAAAGTCTTCCCTTTGAAGACAAACTGGGCCATCCAGAACAACAATTTCTTTTGCTGGACGTGTTCTGTCCAGCACATAGGTCAGCTAGAAATAAAAAATATCCCTGCTAGGAATAAGCAATCATGCATTTATTATTTAAAGCACACCAACAAGCTGTGCATGTGAACTATCCAGTTTAGTTTGGCACTCACCACTTGTTCTTGTTGAGGACACAACCTCTTGTGCCACAGTGGACCTTTATTGGCATACTGGTGGTCCACCAGTCCAATGTCTTCTGCATTGTTTTGGCTGCCCTCCGATTCATGGCTATGATCTACACAACAGGAAAGTAAATAGTAATCATCATTGCCAAGTGTCATGTTTATATTTGCTATGTCACCAAGTAGGATTATTACAATACCTTGTGGCCGAAAGTAGGGCCTTAGCTGTGCAACATTAACTTTATGTATTTTCCCTAACAAGCCACACTTGCCACACCCTTCTCTGTCAGGGATGTGAGGGTGAATGGCCCTTGGTGGAGATCCTGTAAACAATTTCCCTTCTTCACCTTCTTTTTGGGCTCCCCAATTAGGACCTCGTCCCCTGCCTTAACTGAGCACTGGCGAACCCCTTTCCTTTTCTTTGCCTCAAAAGCCTTTTTTTGTTTCCCCTGTGCCTTTTCAATGTTTTTCCGTACCTTAAAGATAAGAATATATTACTATGCGAACATTCTTATTCAAATTGAACATGCCATTCACACAACTCTGAAAAAACCGTTTCATTGAGGGCCTTGACTCCAGCTAGTTTTAGCTCCAGCTCCTCCTCTGGGTCCGCCAATTCAAAGGCAGCGTCTGTCTCACAGACATTTAATGCCTGTGGTAGACGGGGGTGCCTATTGTACATTAAAAAGTACGGGCTGTACTTGGTGGATCTCTAATTTGAAACAAAATGTTTTGCATCAAATCACAAAATAAAACTCTTAAAACATGTATGCAACATATGTTATCTAGTCATTTTGAATAATAACCTGTTTTGCAGTGTTTATTCCATAAACTATGGCCTGCAAGTGGATGTCCCAATCATCATGGTGCTGATTAACATTTTCTGAGAGTCCTCTTTATATTTTGATTAGTTCTCTCATCCTTCAACATAGAAAGGAATTACTACATGCACTTTAGTGTACATTGGCTAAAATGGACTTTACTGTTTTGCGGGATGTCATGAGGGCACACTTACTTGGCCGTTTGACTGGGGATGGTATGCACTTGTGATGGCATGCTTGATGTTCAACGCCGCAAATATGTGTGCATTAAGCTGTACATCAGACACACATGGTTATTTTCAATATTTATTGGTCTCAGAAATGACCAATGACCAATGAATTGTGATGATGTCATATGTCCTGTGTGAAGGGAGAGGGTAATAAGGACACATACCTCGTTAACAAATGCACGGCCCCTGTCAGTGATGATTTTCCGGACCATACCAAATGTGTAGAGCTTTGACACAAGTGCCTCAGCCACCTCAGTGCTAAAGCCACACTTCAAAGGCTCAGCGATAACCCACTTGGTGAACAGGTCTGTCACCGTGAGGACGTATTGATGGTCTTTCATGTTTTTTTTCAGTGGACCAATGAGGTCCATACCGACCACCTCCCACGGCTCTTTCACCTGTGGAGATATGTAATATTACCACATCACCTAACTTGTTGCTTTAAGTGGTACACCAAGGTAAGCTCTACCTTAATAGGGTGAAGGGCAGGAGACACAGTCTTTATGGGGTCGTTCTTTTGGCATCTGTGACAGCTTTTGACCTGATGGATACATTTATTATTTAGACAAAATAATTATCTGAAGTCAAACAAAGCCACTAAATCAATTCATTGCCTGAGAGCCATAGTGTTAAATTCCATTAAAGTTCCAAAAAAGTACCCAATCTGCCACATCTGCCTTTATGTTATCCCAGTAGTACCCCACAGCAACCCTGTCCATGGTCGCCCTCACGCCCCCATGGTTCCCTGTTCCAGGGTTGTTGTGGCACTCCTCCAGGACAGCCCGCCTCTGCTCATCAGACAGCACAACCAGCCTCATGAATTGTGCACTGGGGCCAATGTAGAATAATTTACTTTCTGTGATAGACAAACAATGTTTGTTACGTAATGATTTTGCTGCTTTGTTTGGTATTACAATACAGCACGTATGTGCACATGTGTCTTTGTTCAGGGATGCAAACACGTGTGGTGAAAAATGTTGGCGGTTACTATGTCTGACTAGATGGAACGTTACTGACATGCTCACACGTGTTAACTAAAACAATGCTAAATATTATTTTCAAATACCAGAGTATAGAAGAACAAGAGGCGAAACTCTGATGCTTTTTTTGGTAACAGCCACTAGGTGGCGTTTCGGTAGCGCGGCCGCCATTTTGGGGTGAAGTTTCCAACTGGAGTTACTGGACAACAGCACAGATAACAGTTTTTTGAGGTAGTTTTTTTTTGCATTAGTGAGTATTACCATTTTATGCAACTTTACACAATTACTACTATTATTAGTTAGTTACCAACTTCACTAGGCCTGAAATATATTTTGTACGTTTTAATCCCCTGGATCATGATAAAAACATGATGATCTTATAGAACATGATGCATTGCTGTGTCCGTTATTCTATAATTGCCACTTTTGTACAGTGGCTGTGTTTTTGTTTACATAGTCTTGCTTTTTAGTGTTAAAGGGGTCATATAATGCCATTTTTGTACAAGCTAATATGATTCTTTAGGGTCTAAATTAAAAGTTTGTAATATACTTTAATTAAAAATTCTCATTAGTATTGTAAGAAAACACTTATTTTACCTGGTCAAAAACAGCTCTGTTTTCAGCACGCCGTTTCAGTGCATATGACTTTAAATGATAATGAGCTTTGCTCACCCCGCCTCTCTGTTCTGCGCATACACCGTTTGTAACACAATAACCATAACGCGCTGTTCATTATAAACGTGGGATTATGAATTATATTGAGAACGTTGTACATAGAAAACATGCTGTAATGTACCCTGAGTGTAAACCGACGCATTCATCGTGAAGCGTGCAGCTGGCGATTTGCAAAGATTAATATAAATATTAATATAAAGATTAATAAAACGTTACACTCACTTTAGTTCTTCTGAAGGTTCAGCAGGAACACGAATAGGTTCGATCCTTTATTCAGGTGCAGCTTCTCAGCAAAACCAGCTTTACACTGATCCTCGTTTATAAAGCAGTCCACTGAGAAATGATTCGGCAAACATGAGAGCATTGACGTTGCTCGTGGGGAATATTCCCTTCGAAAACAAACTCAGCCACTGTGTCTTCAGCGGTTCGGATTTAAGAACATTAAAATGACTGCTGTGTTCGTTATTGCACCCAAGAACAGAACACCACAATCGCTTAGACGCCATTCTGCTCATAGACAGTGCTCCAGCATATCAACAATGACCGCGCCGATCCGCGCGGACTATGGCTGCGTTCGGAATCGCATACTCAATGAGTAGGTACTTAATTTCAATGAGTACTTACTTAACGAGCGCTAAAAGAGTAGGTACTTTATAGCCAAATCTCGTTGAGTATGAATGCGATCCGGACATCATCCGCCATGTTGACGTTATCATGTGACCTACGACGCGTTATCACAAGCGCAACAACTTAAAAGATGAACGACACGTTTAATTCATCTATCTGTAAATATCTTGATATTGATGAAACTTGCTCATTTTGTGGTATTGTTGAACAAACAGCTGCCAATTTATTTTGTGAATACATTTAGGGTTGATTTAAGTTGTTATATTTTAAACCCTACTAATGTGACCCACAGTTTTATCCTTATAACGATTTTTTTTAAAGAAACCCCAAAATCGTCATCTCTTGAATATGTTAATTTCTTTATTTTATACCCAAAAAGTTTCTCCTTTAAGTTTTCCTCTTTTCTTGATGAATTTACCTCTCGTTTCATCCCTCAGACTTAACAAAACAATTTTTAATGTATTATGAAGAACTATTTAAAGATATTTAGCCTTGTTATTGTTCTTTTTTCCTGTGTATAAATATCATATTATGATGTACATAAACCAATGATCTTTGTTTTCTGTTTTGTCATTATGATTGTTCATTGATAGATACAACTATGGTATCTTTCCATGATCTTTATGTAATAAGTTTATAAGTTTAAATTATATGAGCGACAGGTGCACTAACACTTCATAATAACATCAGTAACTCGACAGCACAACCTAGAACAGTTTTCCTCGGCGTTTGTAATGTCTGCACGAAGGAGACGGGCCGCTGCTCGAAGATCTCCTTTGGAGAAAACGAATCGGTTACCTAACGTAACCTCGGTTCTCTCTAGATGAGGGAACGAGTATTGCGTAAGCTAGCTTACGCTACGGGAAAGATTCATCTTTTCTGAGAAATTGAAGCCAAAAATTATCCTATAATTTTGTATCTATTGTCAACGCAGTTCAGCTGCAGCAGAGCATGAGCAGGCTAGCTAGCAGCTCATTGGCTCGCTCACAGGGAACTGCTTAAGCCTATGAGGAGACACGAATGAACTCTCGGCCAATGAGAGTCTGACCTGCTCTCATTGCGTCAGAGCCCGCCGAAACGGGCGTGGTCAGAGAGTATAAATTCGCCTCTCAGGCTGTAAATTCTGGTTTTCATAGAATGAAGCGAGAACGCTAGTAGCACAAGCACGGCCAGGAACGCAATACTCGTTCCCTCATCTAGAGAGAACCGAGGTTACGTTAGGTAACCGATTCGTTCTCTTACGAGAGGTTCTCTCGTATTGCGTAAGCTAGCTTACGCTACGGGAACACCTGGTCAACGCCGTGCGTGCTAAGCATCCACTATGAGTCCCAGGGGGGACCCCGGGGAACCCTTATGAGTGGGAATAAAATATGTACATGTGACAAAGGCCAGCGGAGCGGGCCGGGGATTTGTGAAGTACATAAGCACATGATAAGGAGGGACAGAACGAGACCGGTCTGCGTGAATAACTCCCTATAGTGCAGCTCAACCAGAAGAGCTGTAACATACTAGACTGCTAGTAGTTTAGCCTGCAAGGCGGGAACTTCCAGATTGTAAAATCTGATAAAGGTGGAGGGGGAAGCCCATCCCGCTGCCACACAAATATCATGAATGGAAATTCCGCTGGACCAAGCCCACGATGAGGCCATGCCTCTAGTGGAATGGGCCCTGATGCCCAAAGGGCATGGCAGGTCTTTTGACGCGTATGCGGCTGCAATGGCATCAACTATCCATCTGGACAGAGACTGTTTCGAGGCGGCCAACCCCTTGGTGCGCCCACCGAACGAAACAAAAAGCTGCTCAGCTCATCTGACCGGAGCAGTGCGAGTAAAGTGTAGCCACATTGAGATGTGCCTTAATTAGCTCAAATTATGCATAGGGAATTTTAATAATTAATCATGAATATGATTAATATATTGCATATTACAGTTAAATTATCGAAATTGAAAATAGATCGATTGTATATATGAATGGTAAATCATAACGAATTATAATTCCTCATTCATATATCAATGGTCTCATTACAGATCGATTATATGAGACAACTTTAAGGGAATCAATTTAGTTTATCAAACAATCGGTTTGTCCAGCAAACAGCCGTAAGGTTAACTAACCCACTTCTCAACAAGGTTGTCCCTTTATACAAACTCCAAGAAATCTCAATGTTCCGGCCGTGAACATTAATTTTCAGGTGTTTATAAAATTTACGTTACTGATATAGTAACAACTTGTAAAGCTTTTGTAGCTATAGGACCGCATTTCATTGACTTATAAAGTATGAGCATTCAAAAACAATCAAAAATATAATGGTTTTAATAAAATGAAACTACGGATACAGAATTCTACATTTAAACACGGGATACATGTATGTACAGTAAACAGTAAAACTAATGATACAGACGAACAACAAACAGGAGTGAGAGAGAGAGATTGCGAGAGCGCAAGATTGGGAGTGAGAGAGAGAGAGAGAGAGAAAGAGAGTGAGAAGATGAGAGATCTTCTGGTTTGGCAAAATTCATCACAGACACAGAACCTTTTTAGACACCAAGAATCAACAGAT